ACTCGTCTGTCTCCCTCAGAGCGGACGGCGGAGGAGCTGGAGCGCACGCGGCAGTTTGGCAAAGAGGTGGTCGATCTTCTGAGACATCAGCCTCACTTCCGGATGCCCTTCAGCAAATTCATCCCCACGTATCACCACCACTTCGGACGCCAGTGCAAGCTCTCCTACTATGGCTTCACCAAACTCATGGAGCTGTTTGAGGCCATTCCAGACGTTCTTCTGGTCGGTACACGAGCGCAGATGTGAAGGTGCTGGAGCGCTCTGCGGCAGTCTCTGACACGCTGTGTTTGTGTCTCAGGTGCTGGAGTGTGGAGAGGAGCGGCTGCTGGCGCTGACGGAGGTGGAGCGTGTGAAAGCGTTAGCGGCTCAGCTGGTGAAGCTGCTTCGAGCCCAGAGAGACTCCGGCCTCGCTGTCAGTCAGCTGCTGAGTGAATACAGCAAGACGTTTGGCTACAGCCTCCGCCTGCAGGACTACGACGCCGCCACGCTGCCCGCCCTGCTCAACAAGCTCTGCCACGTGGTGAAGGTGAACGTCATTTCCTTTCATTGCACTGATAAGCCTCCTTAGATGATTTTTGGCACATTTTGTGCTCTTTCTCTCTAGGTGGTGGACGCTCCCGAAGGGAAAGAGGTGCAGCTGATTAACAGGAAGTCCCTGCGTGCCTTGACGTCTCAGCTGCTGGCGCTGATGATGTCACTTCCTGAGGATCGTGATCATCTCGCAGTGGAGGAGCTGAGAAAGCGGTACGAACTCAGCTATGGCACGCCGCTCAACCCCTGCGAGTATGGCTTCATCTCTCTGAGCGAGCTGCTGAAGAGCTTGCCTTACCTGCTGCAGGTACGAGCTACGACACGCATCCAGCGCTCCAGTCTGTCCTGATGCTGACAGTGTCTCTCTTCTTCTGCAGCTCTCCGGAGACGAGCGGGACGATGGCGGAGCAGAGGAGTGTGTGAGGCTGACCAGACTTTACCAGTTCGCCCGCAGCATCCGAGCACTGCTGCACACCTATCATTATAACCAGATCTTCCTGTCAGAGTTCTGCGGAGCCTTCAGCAAATACAGCGGGCGAGAGTTTCAGCCGCAGACGTACGGCTATAAGACACTGGAGGAGCTGCTGGCCGCCGTGCCGCAGGTGCGTTAACACATGTGCTAGCTTTGCTGTGATTCAGCGCACTCGATTAAATGCCTCGGGATGAATGCGTTCTGTTTTCTGTTTTGAACAGGTGGTCTGGATTAAAGGTCACGGTCACAAAAAGATCATCGTCCTGAAGAACGACATGAGAGGTAGCAGAATCCTTGACTTTTCCCTCCGTGTCTCCGTCACTCCTGTGAACTGCCTGTTCCTAAATAATCGACAGTACATGTGATGACTGAATGGCTCAGTGAAAGAGCTCAAAGCCTCACTTTCTTCTTTTTGTAGATTATCATAACGGTTTTAAAGGGTTAGTTGTGTCATTTACTTGCTCACACATGCTTCCAAACCTGTATGACTTTCTTCTGTGGAGCATAAAAGGAGATATTTATTCGTTTTTGTCTGAAGATGTGATGAATGCTGTAGGATAAAGAATGCGTTCAATATAATTCAAGGTGTCAGACAGGTGACAGGAACACTGGATCACGTCTGATCGTTGTCATGAAGTTCTAAGCAAAACGAGTAACTTTTATCCAGCATGATCTGACGATGAACTGAGCCAAATCCAATGAATGTTCTCAGAGTAGAAAAGTATGTTCCATTAGATTTGCAGGAAATGCATTACTCTAAATCAAGCTGAACGTGTGTGTGTTTGTTTGTAGCTCGTGGCAGTCCTGCGGTCACAGACAGTCCTGTGGTCACTGCAGACGAGCCGTGTCCTGATGAAGAGCCCCGGTCCGCCGACAGCCCCGCCAGCGGTAAAGACTCTGCCAATCACGCTCCGTTAGCCTGTGTGTCCTCATCAGCGCGAGCTAACGATCTGTGTGTGTCCCACAGGTGAGATGGAGCTGCTGTGTCTGGGTTCTGGTTCTCCGGTGGATCTGCTGTGTGCTCCGGTCCCCTCCTGCCTCCCATCTCCTCAGCTGCGGCCCGACCCGGTGCTGCTGCAGCCCAGAGATCTGATCTGCTTCGAGCCGCATCCACACGGTCCGTCTGAACAAGAGCCGGTTCACGATCGGCAGCCTCAGTCGGCCAACGGTCCCCTCGTGGCTTCGGCTTCTGAAAACGGCCCAGATCACGGAGCGAGCGATGCGGCGGAGCCCTCGGGCAAGAAAACGTGCGTCACAGACAGTCCCGGCCGGCGAACGGCACGCAACAAGGTTAAACTAGCGGCTAATTTCTCCTTCACATCCGCCCTGTCAGTCTGATGCTGAGCAGGTCACGTGAGCTCTGATAGCATGAGGAAGATTTGTGACGCGTGTTATTCTGTGAGGCTAGCAGACGTTCTGTGTGGTGAATTTCATAACTCTGTTCTAAGTTTGATTTGTCTGGACTGCAGCAGACCTCGTGTTCTTCATTCGTGTTTCTCTCAGTACGAGGAGCTAAGCAACCCACTGCTCCTCCACGCGGGATGTTTTCTTTACTGCAGTTGCTCGTTATCAGTCGTTAGCTTGAGGCCTGAATCGTGCAGACCGCAGCTAATTGGTGGACGTCACTCTGAGCTGCTGTGAGCTGAACTGTGAATCTTTCCTCCGCGTGCGTCTGCTGAGACGTGCTGTTGCGCCTTTGTTTTGAGACGTTATTTGTGTTGTTTGAAGCACATGGGCTCCGTCTGATGAAATGGAAGAATGAGTTTGCTGGAAGGTGGAATTCACTTTATTCTTTTTCAATCTGAGATCTCAAACACTCACAGATGCTTTTGTGTTAAGTCTGTTTCAGAGCCAGAGCTTGTTATCCAAGGGCCTTCCTCCCTTTTAACTGATTGATTAGTCAAAGCCGCCCGTCTCGAATTGCTTAAGTTCATATTGTGAATGAAGTCTGTGTTTATTGAAACTCTTACAGAAGTGTTTAGTTTAAGATCGTCTCAGCTGCTTATCAGAGGATATTCACACTCGTCTTACAGTTTCACTGGCGTCCAGATGAATTATGGGAGTCTGTGTGATGAAGTTCAGCGGCCCGAAGAGAAACACCCTCGTGTTCTGCAGGCCGAGGCAGTGTGTCATTTTACGGATGGTTTTTTTGGTCCGGAAGTTGCTTTGATAGTTCTATGCACATGGTGCATAAACCCTTGTTTGAAAGCGGTCATTTACGAGTCGCTGCAGGCTTTTACTGCGTTTCTTCTTTTATGCATTTTGGCAAAATCGTGCTAATTAGATGTTAATCAGTGTAACTGTTCCTCTGGAAATGCCAAGGTTGTTTACTTGAACCTTGAGTTAGTGTGTTCGGTTGCGGTTTGCTCTCCGCGGCGGCTCTCTGATGGCTTTTACAATGGCTTGTATCAGCCTTGGCGCGGGACTCCGCTTCTGCTAACGGCTTAGGGTCACAGTGGGTTGATTTGTGTAAATGTGTTTTGTTTGGCGTATGTTTCGGCTCGCAGCAACACGAGGCGCTCAGACGTCGGCTGTCTGTGAGAATCCTATGTCTGAACACTCATGTGTGCCGTACCGCGGCTGTTGAACGCATTCGTGTTTCTTTTAAGGGTGGCTCTCTTTGGCCAATGTTTTTGGAAGCCTTCAAAATGCTACCAGCGGAAACTCTGAGCTGAAGTACGTGTGTCTCGGTGATTTTATGCATGTTTGCATAACGTTTGCCTCATGCTGTTTACGGATATATTTGATTTATGCAGAAATGTGACGTGATGTACGTGTGTGTGTCTCATCTTTAGTGTTCTCTCTCACTTCTGTCAGACGACCACAATGAACCCAGAAGCCTCTCAGATTGTGACGTTCGCTGAAATTAATGAGCTTCATGTGAAGTAATGTGGACATTCAGCCTCAAGACACTGGAGGTCTTGTATGATTTTAGTCTCCACCAGAAAGTCCTGTTAGGAGTTTTTTTTTATTTCTATGTAATGACCAAATTTCTGTCATGTATAATAAATATCACAAGCATCATTTTGTGTCCTGCTTTCAGTTGTGTTCCTCTTGTCGAGTATCGCTGCTTTTCTGATGGTTTTCAGCTGTTGTGGAAGTCCAGTACGAGCTGTTTGGGAATGTACTGAACTGCATCTCCGATCATTTAGGGAAGAACTTTTGTCTCACACATACGACACACAGGGGTGCGACTGCACATCTGCTGAGAGGTTTGCAAGATCTGTGTTGGCTGCCACCTGAATATTAACAGCGCCTTCACGACATGGCGGTGGCGGCAGCAATACTACAGCGAGAATAAAAGTTACGCCTTCTTTCTTTGCGTGAACATTTGGGCGGCGTTATGCAAATCTTCCCACAGAATAATATGATATTATGATAATCAAGTATTTAATGATAGAACTTTAGTAATTAGAATTAAAACTTGGTAACCATGTATGAATGCATAGACATTTTAACTGAATTTAGGACTGGTGGTGGTGCTTTTTTGGTCATCCAGTGTTTCTGTAAAAAAAAAAAAAAAAAGGGGAAAAAAAAATAACACTGATATGATGATAATACGAATTCTACTAATAAGAACAGTATAAAACGCACCAAGGACTAATGAGCTGCTGGATTCATGAATATTAATCAGGTTGTGTGCGTTCGTTCGAACTGATTCGCTGACATCAAAATGGGGACGATAATAGGTGAGCACCAGCCAATGAGATTGCCGTTTGTGCATTAGTTCCGCCCACTACCGGAGAAACCAGCAGTTCTTAAAAGCTGAAGAATTCCAAAGGAACTCCGTTATTTTGACAGCAAAATACAACAAAGAATATCGTTTACCTGTAAGACTCTCTCGCACACTCTGCTCTCACCAAAGCGACAGCGAGTCGTGCGCCGTTACGCTAGAGTTCACGGTACGTCAAACACAAGTGAGCTTGCGCATCCATTGAGATGAACTGAAAAATATCACCGATCGCTTGACACGGAGTGAAACTCTGAAGCACTCGGTGTTCGGCGAGTGAAAATATATCTGCACTAAACTTATTTTTAGCCTCCAACTCACACACTGGCGAGTAACATCTGAGAATTTATTAGCAGTTGGCAAATATTAGACATCATTTAGTCGCCCAGAGT